ACCTGATTAGTTCCCTATTTTCTGCCCCTTTCATTTTAAAATGAATTGCTTATGGTTATTGTGTTAATGCAGCCAGAATTAGAAGCCAGGAAGTACTCAGCTAACATATTTATTATTAATCAAATATGTATACCAAATTAAAATCTTTGGGAGACAAAGGAAATCAAAGAGTTACTTTGATCTAGTGGTTGAGGCATCAGGCTAGAAAGTGGGAGACTGTGAGTTCTAGTCCTGCCTTAGCCATGAAAGCCAGATGGATGACTTTGGGCCAATCCCCAAGAGACTGTAAATTCTAGTCCCACCTTAGGCACTAAAACCAGTTGGGTGACTTTGGGCCAATCACCAGGAGACTGTGAGTTCTAGTCTCGCCTTAGGCATGAAAACCAGCTGGATGACGGGCCAATCACCAGGAGACTGTGAGTTCTAGTCCTGCCTTAGCCATGAAAGCCAGATGGATGACTTTGGGTCAATCACCAAGAGACTGTGAGTTCTAGTCCTTTCTTAGGCATGAAAATCAGCTGGGTGGCTTTGGGCCAATCACCAGGAGACTGTGAGTTCTAGTCTCGCCTTAGGCATGAAAACCAGCTGGATGACGGGCCAATCACCAGGAGACTGTGAGTTCTAGTCCTGCCTTAGCCATGAAAGCCAGATGGATGACTTTGGGTCAATCACCAAGAGACTGTGAGTTCTAGTCCTTTCTTAGGCATGAAAATCAGCTGGATGACTTTGGGCCAATCACCAGGAGACTGTGAGTTCTAGTCCCGCCTTAGCCATGAAAGCCAGATGGATGACTTTGGGCCAATCACCAGGAGACTGTGAGTTCTAGTCTCATCTTAGGCATGAAAATCAGCTGGATGACTTTGGGCCAATCACCAAGAGACTGTGAGTTCTAGTCCCGCCTTAAGCATGAAAGCCAGCTGGGTGGCTTTGGGCCAGTCACTCCTTCTCAGCTCAATCCAACTCACTGGGCTGTTGTTGGGAAAATAAGGGGAGGGAAGTGTGTTGGATATGTTTGCCGCCTTGAGTTATTTGTAAAAATAATAAAGACGAGATGCATACAAACAAACAAACAAATAAAACCCTACTTCTTGATGAGACTGTAACCGTGACATCTGTTCAAAAGTTAGTCCTGCTGAATTTAATGAAGCCCAATTCCAGTAAAGGTTGTTAGTCTAAAAACAATTTCTATCTCCCCCACTTTTTTTTTTTTTTTACTCACTGCAGTGCAGGTGAAAAGGTGGAAAGATCCTTAGCTGTGAAAAAATTGCTTGTGACAACTACATTCAGCTGACAAAACCAGAGCACTGTAGCACTTTAGCTTTTCTTGAGCATCAGTAAAAGAATGACAAGTGCTACTTAGGGTGTCAGGAGAAGGAACGAAAGAAGAGAAGTCACCAGAAGCAAAGCTATTTCGGTCCACTTTGTTGGAACATGTGAAATTATACTGGAAAGTTTGACAACCTCTGTTGTGTAGGAGAAGATTCAAGGAAGAATTTGTTGGCAACACAAGATTAAACGGAAAGTTCTGCTGTTCGAGGTGGGGTTTCACAACTTCAGCAATTTCTAGAAATGCAGGTCTTGACTCCCAGAATCCTCAGCGACAGTCCTACTGACAGAGGAATTCTGGGGATTGAAGTCCATACTGTACATCTGGCATTTGCCAAGACTTGGGAAATTTGCTTAAGACTGTACAGTCTAAATGGGTTTCTTGTTCTGTGTCGTATTTCCAGAAGCTGGGGGAAAAAATTTGAGACTCGGTGCTCCCGATTTCAGAAATTAAATCAAAGGTGTTTTCCATTGTTTCACTATGTGATGAGGAAAAGGGAAAAAAAATATCAGAATTTACCTATGCAGTTGTAATATTGTGGGGTCCTTGGTGCTCTCTGAACTTTGTTGCTTTCTTGCAGACATTTCATTACCCAATTGGATAACATCATCCGTGCTAGAAGGAAGTGGGGTTTGCTCTCTGTTACATATAGTGGCTTGCCCTGTCAATGGAGATGCTATTTCAGAGGAAGGGGGCAGCAGCTGCCAAATCATGTTTTCATGGCCTCTGATGATGACAGTCTCTGACTGAGGGAACACATATTCATCCCTATGAGATCTTAGCAGCTTGCAGAGGTTGCTGGAAAAAGGGAATTTCACAATTATGTAGAATAGCAGTTCTCAACCTATGGGTCGGGAACCCATTTGGGGTCGAACGACCATTTCACGGGGGTCGCCAAACAATGCAGTCTGCCATTTCCCCCCCCCCCTTTTCCTTAGCTGTGCTACTCCCTTTTATTCTATTGGCTTTTGAAAGCCAATAGAATAGACTCTCTTGAATAGAGTCTAATTCTATTGGCTTTCAAAAGCCAATAGGAATTGTCCAGGCTGTCTCTGCCCTGCTGAGCCCGCCAAAAGTCCCATTCTGCAAATGGTGCTGCACCAGTTGAGTAGTCCTCAACTTACAGCCAGTTGGGGGTCGCGGCATTAAAAAGGTTGAGAATCACTGATGTAGAGCCTGAACCTTGATCAATAATATTTCCACTCAATCAATGAACTTTCTATTTCTAAACACCCCTTCTCCACCAATCAACACCCAGATAAGCAGATTTAGCCCAAGATACTCATGTTGTTCTATGCAAGGTAGGATCTTTAATCTAGAGCAGGAGTGTCAAACTCAATTTCATTGAGGGCCGCATCAGCATTGTGGTTGCCCTCAGGGTGTGTTGGCCAGGGTGGGTGTGGCCTACTGGGTGGGCCTGGATGGAGTGGGTGTGGCCTACTGGTGGGCATGGCCAGCTCTACATTGTTCACATCAAGGGTGCCTGTGGGGACCTGGGCAGGAGTGGGACAGATCTGAGGGTCTCTGGCAGAAGGGGGTGGGACCAGGGCAAGCGCCAAGGCATGGTCCATTTTTTCATTCCTCACAAAGGGTGACACCTCCCCAGCATGCAACCAGGGGGCAGGGCCGACACAGCAGGGGCTGGTTCCTTGCTGTTTCTAGACGGCCTTGTGGAGCTAAGACTAAATGCGTTTTAGCATAGATGGTCACCACAAAATTGTACATTGGCTTCCGGCTGGCCTGGGCCAGGGCCAAGGCAGAGGGGGCTGTTCCCTCACTGTTTCCAGAATGGCTTCACGGGCCACATGAAACCACACTTCGCGGGCCACATCCGGCCCCGGGCCTTGTGTTTGACATGTCTAATCTAGAGATTACCTTACAAGCCAACATATTGTTTGTATTGCAATTAGCTGCCCAGAGTTACCCTGTGGTAAGGTGCAGCCTATAAATTTTTAAAAAGGTAAAAGTTTCACCTGTTCAGTCATATCTGACTCAAGGCGGCAGTGCACATCTCCGTTTCCTGGCTGAGGTAGCCAGGGTTGTCTGAAGACATTTTCCGTGGTTATGTGGCCAGCATGACTATATGCCGAGGCTCAGGAAACGCTGTTACTTTCCCAACGAAGTGGTACCTATTAATCTACTCTTATTTGCATGTTTTTGAACTGCTAGATGGGCAGGAGCTGGAGCAAGGGATAGGAGCTCACCCCATTGCGTGGTTCTTGGGTCTCAAATATGGACTGTCAGTTTTCCAGCTGACAAGCTCAGCATTTTATAACTGCTGAGCTATTGCGCCCTCTTCGATAAATTTTACAAATAAATAAACCTTGAGGTCTGTGCAGTATGCTGACACACATTCAGGATTCACACTCTGCATAGAGTTGCTTACTACATAACAGAGTCGTAGTCCTCAATATGCTGGATCTACCTGGGGGCTATTTATGACCCAGATTCAGAGTTCTGATCATCACCACCGCATGACACACACACACACACACACACACCGCAGTCATCTGACCAAACTTTGACTGCTTAGCAACTGGACTGAATTTATGGCCATTTGCAGCATCCTGTGGTCATGTGGACCATGTTTTATGACAGTTTTGCTGAAACTTGGCATTTGCTTCCGTTTTTGGGCAAAACCCTAACCCAGGGGTAGGTAACCTTGGCTCTTTTATGACTCAGGAATTCTGCCTCAGGAATTCTGGGAGTCATAAAAGAGCCAAGGTTGCCTACCCCTGCCCTAACCCTAGTAAACCATTGGTTCACATAACTACTGAAGTGCTCACTAAACCAGTGGTTCTCAACCATTTTAATGCCGTGACCCCCAACCGGTCATAAGTCAAAGACTACTCAACCGGTCGTAAGTCGAGGACTACTCAACTGGTGCAGCACCGTTTGCAGAATGGGACTTTTGGCGGGCTCAGCAGGGCAGAGACAGCCTGGACAATTCCTATTGGCTTTTGAAAGCCAATAGAATTAGACTCTATTCAAGAGAGTCTATTCTATTGCTTTCAAAAGCCAATAGAATAAAAGGGAGTAGCACAGCTAAGGAAAAGGGGAAAAAATGGTGGACTGCGTTGTTTGGCGACCCCCGTGAAATGGTCGTTCGACCACAAATGGGGTCCCGACCCACAGGTTGAGAACCACTGCACTAAACGATTGTGGTGGCTACTCTGTGAGTGCCATGTTTCCGTGACCACAACTGCAAACAAGCTTGTTGGCAGGCTCTGTTAAGGTTGTATAAGTCGAGAACTGTAGGTTAAAACCTCAGAAAAACATCTAATCTTTCCAATCAAGGCTCGGTGAAGAGTTGAACAGGACTTTGGGTCATTGGCATTCAAAGCCCAGTCCATTCACCTTCTGCCTCATCCCTACCATATCCTTCCCTCCCATGTGTGGGAGGGAATCAGAGGTCGGATGTCCCGACTCCAAGATTGGAATCCGGATTCCGAATTGGAGCAGGATCTTCGAAGCATTGCTAAGGCGACCTCTGAGGATTCGTAGCTGGGGAAACGGTGGAGGAGACGCTGCGCCTGCTGGGTGCATTGGGGAAAAAAAAAAGCGGGTTCTAAAAAAAATTAAAACGTATTTATTTATATATTTATTTCATATATAAAAGAAATTTGAAAAAAAAGAAAAAGAAAAGGAAAGAAATCGTAAGGAGGATGCAGGCTTATGGCAAATCTGTCTTGTCTGCGGCTTCTGCCTGGACAGTTGAGTCGGATCCGCCCGGAGTTAGTAAAGTCCGCCGGTTGTAGTGAGCCTTAATGATGCCTGAATTATTGTTCTCGTTTAAAATTTGCTTCTGCTTTTGCCTGTTGAGAGATTGCACGAGTCCCAGCACCACGGCGGCTAAGGAATATTGTCCGGTTAGTTTTCTTGGTTGCAAGGTCAAAGGGTTGGGCTGGACCCTTCCCAGAAGGAAGTAGGTTTTGATTTTGCCTTCTTGCTCGCTGATGCCCTTGACGTAAATCTCTCCCCGATAGTCGAAGGCGAATCCTCGGTCCTTCAAGATCAAATAGGTTTCCTCAGGCACTTGCATCCGGCCGCTAATTCCGGTACTGTCCATTCGGCTAGCTAAATTAACAGTTTTGCCCCAGATATCATACTGTGGTTTCTTAGCACCAATGACCCCAGCTACAACCGAGCCATGACTGATACCTACGAAGAGAGAGAGAGAAAAAAGCAAATTACGATTATGATACAGAGCGATCCTACGAAATTCAAGTGTTTCAGTGAATCTAACTATATCCAGTGGTGGGATTCAGCCAGTTTGCACCACTTCGGCAGAACGGGTGGCTAATTTTTTGTTGCCCAGGCCCAGAAGGGACTTCTGGAAGTGGCATCCATGCAGAGAACTGGTTGTTCACATATTTGAATCCCACCACTGACTACCGTACTTTCCGGCGTATAAGACGACTTTTGAGAGCGTTGAAATCGGCGCCGAACTCGGAGGTCGTCTTATACGCCGAGTCGTCTTATATGCCGGAAATAACAGTAGTTTCCAGCGTATAAGATGACTTTCTAGGCATGTGACTCAGCGTCAAAGTCGGGGGTCATCTTATACGCCGGGTCACCCTATATGCCGGAATATACGGTATATCCAGTTCCTCTCCAAATCCATCCGTGCTTTTCCCCGGTGTCATATACAGAGTTAGAGCCCTCCAACTTGCAGTGGACAAATTGTGGCCCCACAGACATTGCAAGGGTACAAGTAGTCCTTGGATTATGATCACAACTGCTAAGTGAAACATTTGTTAAGTGAGTTTCACCCCATTTTATAAACTTATTTTGCTACAGTTGTTAAGTGGATCATTGAAATTGTTAAGTTAGTAATGTGGTTGGTAAGTGAATCTGGCTTCCCCATTGGCTGTGCTTGTTAGAAGGTCACAAAAGGGACGCTGCAACCATGATAAATATGAACCAGTTGTTAAGCTTCCAAATTTTGATCACACGATTAAGGGGATGCTACAATGGTTGTAAGTGTGAAAAATGGTCGTAAGTCACTTTTTTGAGTGCTGTTGTAACTTTGATTGGTCACTAAATAAACTGTTGTAAGTCAAGGACTACTGTAATGGTAAAATGCAAGAGGGGCACGTCCAACCATATCTTAAAGACCACATTGCTCAACTAACAGAAGAAGGGAGGAATAAATATTTCCTAGGTTTAGCATATAATGTTAATACATATGCACTCCACTGTCCTGTTTGTTTTTGAAGCACCATTCAAGGTGTTTCTGGGTTGAAAGGATGAGTTGGCAACATCACTGTTGCCTGGGGAATGCACGTGGGGGCTCCTTTCATGTCCCCATCAAGAAGCTGGAGCGAATGACGCGAGCTCACTCTGCCATCCAGCAGCACTCAGATCTCAAATGTGGGCTAGCTAACCTCCAATCTAGCAGCCTAACTACATGAGCCACCACGCTCCTATAACACATATACACTAATAGAAAGGAATATTTGTAATTCAGGGTTGAAATCTGTAGTCCTTGGTGCTCTCTAAACTTGATTGTTTTCTTGCAGATGTTCCAGCAGTGCACTGATGATGTTACCTAGTTGGATAATGAAATGTCCACAAGAAAATAACCAAGCTCAGAAAGCACAAGGGACCCACAAATATGCATGCTGTCAACTTTCCTACCGGGACCTTGAGTAAAGAAGAACATGAAGACAACTCAACTCAGGCAGCAATGGTTTACTTTAAGGCAAATGTTGGCATCAGCAGAGACCTACAGCAACAAGGCTCTTTGCTATACAAAGTTTGCGCTGGGAGCAATCGCCTCCCAGCGCTGCTTAAATACACTTATGCTAATGCTACCTCACCCTCCACCCAATTAGCTATCAACCACACCCCCGCCCAACAAATCACAACCCCACCCATCCATCACCTCACAACCCCACCCTTCTATCACCCAACCAGCACCTGGCAGCAATCAGAGAAAGCAGCTGCCCCATGACTGAGGCTTCTTCTGGGATGCCCCGCCCCGAAAATGTGCTCTTCAGGCTACTGCCCATCAGCTGTTTGGTAGCTCAAGCTTATTCTGCGCAGGCGCAGTGTCCCTTGCCTTCTGGAACCACCTGTCAGCTGTTTAGCGGCCAGAACGCCTGCCGGAGGATCCGCGGCTTGTGTTCTCTCTTCAGGACGGTGAGCTGCCTTGGACCTGGTGCTGGTTCTCCTCCTCCACCACCATGCTGTTCCCCCTCTTGTGTGTCAAGCCCAGGAGGGCTTGACACACGCAACAGAACTTAAATTGTAAGGGAATTTCAATATACTGCTACTAGTTAATAACTTAAAAGAAGCTGATAGAGCCATGGATACAGGGTGTGATATATTTGGAAGGTTTATAAAGAGTTGGAAAGATGCCAGCAATTGTTGGAAATAGAATCATGGCTTTATTAACACAGGGTTTAGCCTTCATCTAGTGTCGAAGAGAGACTGGCTGAGCCAGAGGGAGTCAAGCAGGGAATTAGTCTGGAATCATTACATAGGCATAGAAAAGCAAGGCCCGGCCCTACTTGAATGCCACTGAACTTTTATCTAGTCTGGCTCAGGTACAAACTGCCAGTCTGGGAAGATTTTTGTGAAATAGACGTGAGCAATAAAGTAGCTAATTGAATTCTTCATGTGTGGATCTGGTTGCTTCACCTGACATCTAGTTCAAATATTAGAGAAATGATATCGTGACCTTGTGAAGAGTTGCTTGCATGCATTAGGGAGGAAGTAACTTTGGGTTTTCAAAGGAATGCATGTGTAAGTCTTGCTGACCTTTCTACCTATGGCAAGCTGCTTTAAAGTGATTCAATAAATCAGCTGGTGGGCACCATGCTGATATAGGGCACCGTAGAGGTCACGTTCAGCAGATACGTACCAATGCGGAGCTCGAAGTTGTTGAAAGAATGCTTGTTAATCTCTTGAATGCTTTCATTCAGTGCAATGGAGAAATCTGCCAGGGCGCATAAATGGCCCCACTTATCTTCACACTGCTGAGGAATGAAAGACAGAATCAACAATGCGTGTTGGCTGATCAGCTGCTCTGTCAACAGGGAGCCAAATTCTGCAACAGTTCAGTGGACTGAACTTAAAGATTGCGGAATATTAGCCAGGAGAGAAAGCTTTTCTCTTTTTGGAATACCACAACATCACAATTGCAACATCACAACAAAGAGAACTTTCTTTTGAGACATAGGAAGATTCTAGTCCTGTTCAGTTCATCTATCTAATTTGTCCTTGCTCTCCCATACTCACTAAGAATTCCATTTTAGAACAGAACAGAACAGAACAGAACAGAATAGAGTGGAATGGAATGGACTGGACTGGACTGGAATGCACTGGAGTAGAGTAGAGTAGAGTAGAGTAGAGTAGAGTAGAGTAGAGTAGAGTAGAGTAGAGTAGAGTAGAGTAGAGTAGAGTAGAGTAGAGTAGAACACAGCAGAACAGAATAGAATATTGGCCATGTGTGATAGACACACATGGAATTTGTCTTCAGTGCATAAGCTCTCAGTGTACATGCAAAACAACAAAGTAGTAATATTCATAATACCAAAGTAATAATAATCATAATACCAATAAGAGAAGGTAGTGGGACAGATGTGAGGGATAAAAGCAATACAGCCATACTGCATGGTTAAATAGACATAAGACAGTTCTGAGGGAAGTAGGTGTTTGAAGAATTATTGAAGTAGACAACCCTACTGCACAATTCACAACTCTACTTTATTAGGATCTCAAAACGGCAAAGAGATGGGACAGCGACAAACTCTGCAGCTCTACCCCAGATCTGCTTACACATCTTCCTTTTTCTGTTGTCTAAATCAATGATGAAGAGGAATGAAAAAATGGGGGAAAAAAATGCTGGCTGTAGAAAAATATCTGAAATCTATAGCTGAACATTTATGTAGCTCAGGGTTCAACTGTTCAGTTGTTGGTCTGCTCCAAGCTTGTTGTTTCCTATTGGTTTATCAGGCTGGGTGATTTCATCTGTGTGAGGGAGAGTGTGGAATTTGCTGGTTGTTTATATATAATGCTTTGCCCTGCTAGTCTTGATTGGGCTGTGGCTTCCTTCTTGTCTCTCTCTTGAAACAGGCAAACATGTGTTAGAAAATCAGGTTAGCTCCTTACCTGTTTTTCAGGGGATAGCCCAGATACCGCCATATATGTGCTTCCAATGGTTTTAATTTTTTCAATATCCTGAAATCGTTCTTCACCTAATAACTGAAAACAAGGATTTCAAAGTCGTGATTAGCATATCCATTCTTGCTGAAGGATTTCATTTTACATCCTTCAAGCCTGTGATTTATTGCTTTTGAGCAGGGCTCTTCAAACGTGGCCCTTTTATGACTTGTGGACTTCAACTGCCAGATTTCCTCAGCCAGGCATGCCTGGCTGAGGAATTCTGGGAGTTGAAGTCCACAAGTCATAAAAGGGCCACGTTTGAAGAGCCTTGCTTTTGAGTAATAGACAATATAGGCAGTCCTTGTCTTATGACCACAAGTGAACCGAAAACGTCCGTTGGTAAGTGGTCATAAGTCACTTTTTTCAGTACCACTGTAACTTCAAATGGTCATTAGATAAACTGTTGTAAGTCAAGGACTACCTATACATGAAACAATACCTTCTCCAAATCCATCAATTAACTTTAACACTTTAGCTACCCTAATGGCTGCAAATCCCTGCAAATTCAGAGACACATCAACACACTGAATCATATATTACCTTTTTTCAGCACAGTTGCAACTTCAAAAGGTCACTAAACATACTGTTGTAATTTGAGGACTATCTGTATTGCATTGAACCCCCCCCAAAAAGATGATTAATGATCTTCAAGGATGCCATTCCCCCTTGATGAAAGGAAGAAGAACTAAAAATAATGATTAACAGACAAATTGCTGCATAATTGGTCACCACATCACAAAAAAGATGTTGAAGAGTTTGGAAAAAATTCAGAGAGGAGCAACTAAGATGATCCAAGGCCTGGAGACTAAAACATATGAAGAATGGCTACGGGACTTGGGTTTGGCTAGTCTAAACAAAAGAAGAAATAGGAGAGACATGATATAGCAGTGTTCCAGTATTTGAGCGGCTGCCATAAAGTTATTCTCCAAAGTACCAGAGGGAAGGATGAGAAACAATGGTTGGAAACTGATCAAAGAAAGAGGCAACTTGGAATTAAGGAGAAACTTCCTGAGAGTGAGGAATAGGATAGAATAGAGCTGGAAGGGACCTTGGAGGTCTTCTAGTCCAGCCCCCTGCTCAAGCAGGAGAACCTGTACCATCTCAGACTGTCTACTCTCTTTTTAAAAATCTCCAGTGATGGAGCACCCACGAGTTCTGGAGGTAGGTTGTTCCACTGGTTAATTGTTCTCACTGTCAGGAAGTTTCTCCTTACTTCCAGGTTGCTTCTCTCTTTGATCAGGACAATTAACCAGTGGAACAGCTTGCCTCCAGAAATCTTGGGTGCTCCATCACTGGTGATCTTTAAGAAGAGACTAGACAGTCACTTGTCTGAGATAGTATAGGTTCTCCTGCTTGAGCAGGGGGCTGGACTAGAAGACCTCCAAGGTCCCTTCCAGCTTTATTCTATTCTAATACTTACTATCCCCAGTGTCAGAAAGCAATAGTGAAAAATTCTCTCTCTCTCTATTTGTTTCAATGAAAATGTGAGAGTCAGAATGATGTTAAAATCTTGTCTGACCAGAATGGTAGATCATGAACCAAAACCTTCAATGAAAAAAGCCTTCAACCTGTAGTTGCCCAATCCAGGCTGATCAGGAGAAAAGTTAATAACAATAAATATGTGTATAGGTGCGTTTCCTGTGTAGCAATCATCTTTCCACACAGATGATCATGTGAAGTATTAATACCAATTTACAATGCCTTGGTAAGGCCACACTTGGAATACTGCATCCAGTTTTGATCAACATAATATTAAAAAGACGCTGAGACTCTAGAAGGAGTGCAGAGAAGAGCAACAAAGATAGTTAGAGATCTGGAGGCTAAAACATATGAAGAACGGTTGCAGGAATCGGGCATGGCTAGTCTAGTGAAAAGAAGAACTGAGTGACATGATAGCAGTCTTCCAATATCTGAGGGGCTGCCCCAAAGAAGAGGGAGTCAAACTATTCTCCAAAGCGCCTGAAGGCAGGACAAGAAGTGACGGATGGAAACTAATCAAGGAGAGAAGCAACCTGGAACTAAGGAGAAACTTCCTGACAGTTAGAACAATTAACCAGTGGAACAGCCTGCCTCCAGAAGGGGTGAATGCTCCGACACTGGAAGTTTTTAAGAAGAGACTGGACAGCCATTTGTCCAAAATGGTATAGGGTTTCCTGCCTGAACATGACCTGCAAGGTCCCTTACAACTTATTATTGTTGTTGTTGTTGTTGTTGTTGTTGTTATTATTGACAATTATTATTAAATGACAATGGTTATCTATCTATCTATCTATCTATCTATCTATCTATCTATCTATCTATCTATCTATCCATCCATCCTCCAAGATCCCTTCCAACTTTATTATTATTATTATTATGGATCATCGCACAGTCAGCCAGATGTTCAGACTGGATTTGGCATTTTGTCTACCTATCGAGTTCTTACCCAGGACCTGGGATAGGCAGATGTGGATGTTTGATGGTATTACAGATATCGTCGCAGGATGGAAGCAGTTCCTAATAAGGCTGCCTTTTGCAATTGACTATAGCGAATTTGTCAATGCCAATGGTGTTCAAGTGGTGCTCCAGTTGTTTTGGGATTGCACCCAAGGAGCCTATGACTATTGGTACTACCCTTGCTTGCTTTTGCCACAATCTTTCTATTTCTAGTTGTAGGTCTTTGTATTTTGTTATCTTCTCCAGTTCTTTCTCTTCTATTGTGCTATCTCCAGGCACTGCCACGTCCACTATCCAGACTTTTTTGTCTTTCTTATCGACAATTGTTAAATCTGGGGTGTTATGTTGCAGGTGCTTGTCTGTTTGAATTCTGAAGTCCCAGCGCAGTTTAATTTTATCATTTTCTATGACTTTCTCTATTTTATGATCCCACCAGTTTTTGCTTACAGGCAAATGATATTTTTTGCAGATCTTCCAATGCACCATTGTTGCTACTTTGTCATGCCGCTGCTTGTAGTCAGTCTGTGCAATCTTCTTGCAACAGCTTACCAAGTAGTCCACTTATTATTATTATTATTATTATTATTATTATTATTATTATTATTTTACCATGAAGGTTTTCATGAGATGTTGGAATATTTGTGTTGCTCATCGTTACAAGGAGTGCTTGTGGCTACTCCATTTTATTGCTCATGAGCTTAGTTTACTTATTCTGTTTGGTTGGCTTTATTGCCTGGTTTTAATTATGGTGAGGTTTTTATGCTTTTACCATCCATCAAACCACATAGGTTGCAAGAAGAAATAAATAAGCAAGCGAGAGGGCTTTTCCATAGTCCTGCAGAACCTCTACACATGGTGGCTAAACATGGTTGATTATGATGCCACTGGAACTTTGAGATTTTTTTGATAGTATTTGGTGAAGAATGAGAGACCTATCTTCTCTTTCCTGACCTAGAGAGAATAATGTCTCCATTATTTGTCTTTTGTTTTCCAACCTAGGCAGTGTTTCTCAGCCTTAGGAACTTGAAGACATGTGGACTTCAACTCCCAGAATTCCCCAGCCAGAATAGAACAGAACAGTGGTTCTTAACCTTTTTGAACGAATCGCCCCCTTGAGCCAATGAGGAAGTTGTTATCGCCCCCCTCCCCCAACATAACCTCTCAATCACAACATGGGAAATAATTCTTCAATTTATGCAAACATTTTTTTTGTTTTCTTTAAAATTGTTCATCAGGACATATCGATGCAAATAATTTATTTCCAGTCTTTTCTCCATATCTCCCATATTCTGGCTAATGGCGTGCCACTGTATGGGTAGAGGCTGCTACGCAATGCGCATGAAGATAAGCGATGCGTCTTCACATATGTACGGCGTTCTGTACTGAAGCTAGCTGGAGGAACATTTCAAAACACAATTCAATCCGCTGATAGCGAGCGATCTGATGTTTTTGTATGATAGATATACAGCCATTCACTGTACGAAAAAGTCTCAAAAGTGTCCTCAAAACTTCTCGCTCCATCACCCCCACATCGCCCCTTTTCGTTCCATTGCCCCCCTGAAAAATGAAATCGCCCCCTGGGGGGCAATATCACCCAGGTTAAAAACCAGTGGAATAGAATATAGAACATAGAACATAGAATAGAATAGAATAACAGAGTTGGAAGGGACCTTGGAGTCATCTAGTCCAACCCCCTGCTCAGGGAGGAAACCCTATACCATTTCAGACATATGCTTGTGCAGTCTCTTCTTAAAAGCCTCCAATGTTGGAGCACTGTTAGAACTGTCAGGAAATTTCTTCTTAATTCTAGGTTGCTTCTCTCCTTGATTCTAATTCACCCAATCTACTCAAGCCGGACTCACCTTTATCCCGGAATCCATCCCTGTGCCTTAGAATTAAAAAGAGATTAGCTGCTAGCTAAAACGGCACAAACACAGAGGTTAAATCATCGATCGGCTGACCAAATGCCGGGCCTGCTGGCCAGGCCAGCTGTTCCTTAAATCTCACTCCCTCTCTGGGCCCGAAGGGTTGCACAAATTACCTCGTCAAAGTCAGCGATGATTTCATTCAGCAGGCGCAGGCACTCCACCCCCTGGTTGTTCATTTCGGTCTGGGAATAGAAGTCGGCAAAACCAGGGATTGAGGCAAACATGACGCCAACAGCATCGTAGGACTGAGAGTAGAGGTCCTGGAAATGCAAAGAAGGGCAGAGGAGGAAAAAGATGCCATTTAGTGACATTTGGCAGAAGAGAAAGCAGGTGTGCCTTTTCTTGCCATTAATATGTGCTTATTTGTTTGGTCTATGTAGCTGCCAGTCTCATTTGACCGGGATGATATAAGGTCTCCTGGCTTGAGCAGGGGGTTGGGCTAGAAAACCTCTGAGGTCCCGTCCAGACCTATGATTCTATCTTCTATGTACACCGAGGTGATATTAGAATGAAATGGAATGGAATGGAAGAGAAGAGAAGAGAGCTGGAAGGGACCTTTGAGGTCTTCTAGTCCAGCCCCCTGCTCAAGCAGGAGAACCTATACCATTTCAGACAAGTGACTGTCTAGTCCAGGGGTAGGCAACCTTGGCTCTTTTATCACTTGTGCTGGCTCAGGAATTCTGGGAGTTGAAGTCCATGAGTCATAAAAGAGCCGAGATTGCCTACCCCTGGTCTAGTCTCTTAAAATCCTCCAGTGATGGAGCACCCACGATTTCTGAAGGCAAGCTGTTCCACTGGTTAATTGTCCTCACTGTCAGGAAGTTTCTCCTTAATTCCAGGTTGCTTCTCTCCTTGATAAGTTTCCATCCATTGTTTCTTATCCTGCCCTCTGGTGCTCTGGTGAATAACCTGCCCCCCTCTTCTTTGTGGCATCCTCTAAAAATACTGGAATACTGCTTTCATGTCAGCCCTATTTCTTCTTTTCTTTAGACTAGCCAAACCCAAATCCTGCAGCTGTTCTTCATGTTTTAGCCTCCAGGCCTTTGATCATCTTAGTTGCTAGCGATACAGAAATGTGAAACCCATACAAACAATAGAACTGTCCATAAAAGAATATACTCCCTTTTTATGATGTGAATGAGAGTCCAGCTAGACATAACAACACTAAACCTAGCGTGAGAAACAAGGTTATTGTAACCAGAGCTGATAAGGAATTGGCCGGGCTGGAGAACTGGAGAGGAAGCCCACGCTTCAAGCTAATTGGGGAATGTGATTTATGACTGTTAATTGGAGGAGAGAATTGTGCTTTGATACTGTGTGCTCAGGGGAGAGGAATTCAGTTTTTGGCTTTGATTATGCAGTGCTACTCAAAATAAAGATTCTTTAAGGTAAACAATGCCTCGAAGTTTTTTTGAAGAGTTTCATCTGTCGGAACCATGACATCAAAAGTTGGAGCCATCCAGAACTCTAGGAGAAGACGGTTCTACAGGGCAGCCATGGGAACTGAGAAAGATAGGGCCCCACCTCTCTTGCAGAAGAGAGGCGATTCGTTTAATTTGCTCATCAATCTAACCCTCAACAAATCATGTTGGAGGCCTGATGTGGACTCTGAGAAGACATGGTTAAACATCCAGGAAGAATTTGGAGTTTGTTTGGAAGTTAACCTTCTAGCACTGATAACGTTATCCTAGTTGGGTAATGAAACATCCACAAGGAAACCATCAAACTCAGAGAGCACCAAGGATCCCACAATTGAACCATGAGATACAAATATTCTCTTCTCTTGGTAGAACAATTTGTTTCTTGCATTCACATTTCTCGATTGTGATCACTGTGGCAACTTGTTGCAAGCTTCCCAGGGCAACTGCATCTATATTTATAGCCTATTGATGGCAAGCTTATGCTTGGTATGCTGATCCTTATATAAACAAAATGGAATCAATCAGGAACAGGGATGAGGGTACTCAGTTAAAGTATTACATATTGCCATCGGTGAATAACCCAAAGAGGAGAAGATCACAAACACACCAATGAGTGTGAATAGTGGCTATTGAATGTTGTGTGGGCATGCGTTGTCAGGCAACTCCTGGGCCATGACCCATTAGCGGGCCGCGGCCTGTTCGAAACTTGGCTGCAGGAGAGAAGGGCAGGCGTGTGTGTGTGAAGCTTCGCTTGTGCAAGTGGAGGGTGCTTGCACTGGCACGTGAAGCTCCGCTCGTGCAAATGGAGTAGAAGGCTCTTGTGTGTGTCGCTCCATTTGTGTGAATGGAGCTTTGCAGAGCAGAGTGTGCTTGTGCGTAAAGCTCCATTCGCATGAATGGAGCTTTGCACGCGAGTGTTCTCCGCTCACACAAGAGGAGTTTTGCACACAAGCACCAGTGCCCTCTGCTCACGCAAGTGGAGCTTCGCATGAATGGGCAAGCACTCCTGCTCATGCATAAAGCTCCATTTGCATGAGGGGAGGGCGCACATGCCTGCTCCTCATGCAAATAGAGTTGTGTATGTGCATCTGCCACTCACATGCCCCCCCCCAAGTGGGCCATCAAGCTGTAAAGGTTGGGGACCACTGGCTTAAGCCACAACTGCATAACGGGTGGAGAAAGAAACTGAGAAGTGACACCCTCTTTCCCCAAATCCTCAGACTGTAAAGTGGGAGATTTGTACTTTCAGACTTGCAAGATTGTGTTAATGCAGTCATACAATAAAGTAGAATTAGCTCAAGAGGTCTTGTATCCTGTTTGGTTTACTTGGGAAGTCTGACAAAATCTAATTTTAGTTCACAAAAAAGACAAAAGTCCAGGAATTAACGCCCTATAAGCACCTGACTCCCTTACATAACTGCGGATCAAACAGCATCTGCTGCACATCTGGAGAGGCTGGGAAAGGTTGACATGCAATCTGTTTGCAGTCGCTTGTTTTCTGGATTCGGAAGCTTTCGTGCGGTGAGCCTTAAAGCCAATCTGTGCAGAAAGGAAAGCATTCATTTCCCTGTTTGCTTCCCTGGGGAAGGGGGAGGTTAGCATATTATGTAAATAAGTGTTTACTGTATTGAACCTTGAATGATCCAGGCAGCTGATGCAGAAACTCTCTGCAGGTATGATTATTCAATGCAACCGCAGGAGGGGAGAGCCTGGGGGGTGTGAGGGTGGGGGTCAGGAAGAGAGATCAAAGGCAGAGTTACAGAATTACTCTTGCAAACGGCAAGCATGCTTTCAGTGCTAAGAGCAGATGTGGCTTACGATTAGGAAGCAGGCAATACCCTTTGTCTTATATAGCTACTTCAGAGGACAGGAAAGAGTTAATTAATATCACAGCTTTGGAAGAGACCTTGACAGCTTCTAATCCAATCCTTTGCCCAGGGCAGGGATCTGGAGAGCATCCCAGCCAAACTGTTGTCCAATCTTTTGATGGTTCTTAGTAGTTCTCCTTGGAATGACCAAGGAAAAGAAAGACCATGCTTCAACCCAACACTGGCAGGGCAAGTTACTGTGTATAAATGGAGCAAGCCCCACTCTCGCTAGCCCTGGTGATGTTATCTAGTTAATAATAACAGTAGTAAAGTTGGAAGGGACCTTGGAGGTCATCTAGTCCAACCCCCTGCTCAGGCAGGAAACCCTATACCATTTCGGACAAATGGCTGTCCAGTCTCTTCTTAAAAACTTCCAGTGTTGGAGCATTCACCGCTTCTGGAGGCAGGTTGTTCCGCTGGTTAATTGTTCTAACCGTCAGGAAGTTTCTCGTTAGTTCTAGGTTGCTTCTCTCCTTGATTAGTTTCCACCTGTTGCTTCTTGTCCTGCCTTCAGGTGCTTTGGAAAATAGCTTGATTCCCTCTTCTTTATGGCAGCCCCTGAGATATTGGAATACTGTTATCATGTCCCCCCTTGTCCTTCTCTTTGTTAAACTAGTTAGGCAATGAAATGTCTGCAAGCAAACAACCAAGCTCAGAGAACACCAAGGGTTCTACTGCCCAAACTTTGTCTGAAAACTTTCAAGAATGGAGCCCTCACAGCTCCAGAAGATGGGCTATTCCATGGGTAGGCAACCTTGGCTTTTTTATGACTCGTGGACTTCAATTCCCAGAATTCCTGGGCCAGCATGGCTCAGCTTGGAAACCTCTCCCTTTCCCCTCAGCATGGCTGGCTCAGGAATTCTGGGAGTTGAAGTCCACCAGTCATAAAAGAGCCAAGGTTGCCTACCCCTGGGCTATTCCAATACTTATTAGCTGTCAGTGTCAGGGAATTCCTCTTTTTTAAAAACTTGGATCTTTTTGGGGGGTACAATGACAGAATGTCTATGGAGATTCTCAGTCAACCAGGTCATCGTTATCCCGAAAGATTCTTTTGCAAGAGGCAACTGGACTTTCTTGTTTTTCTTTGGAGACATTTCACTTCTCATCCCAGAAGCTTCTTCGGCTTTGACTGGATGGTGGGGAATGGAAAGATTTATACTCCTTGCAGACAGCTGGTCATTTGCATTCTTTTAGCGAGTCAATAATGCTAATGCTACCTGCAAATGAACAGCTGTCTGCAAGGAATATAAATCTTTCCATTCCCCACCATCCAGTCAGAGCTGAAGAAGCTTCTGGGATGAGAAGTGAAATGTCTTCAAAGAAAAAAAACAAGACAGTCCAGTTGCCTCCTGAAAAAGCATCTTTGGGATAACCATGGCAGAATGTTGAAATCCTGACAGAGATTCTCTTTTCTTTCCCTGCATCAAGATGGCCACTCTTGAATTTCTTCCTCAACTCTTCCTATTTTTCCAGGCTAGGTTGATGTTTGTATAAGGGGTCCTACATACATTCCTCAATGGTCTATCCATTCTTCTTGACAGTTTTCCAACCTTTATTTAAATCAGAAAGAAAACTCTAAAACAAATCTTTGCTTTTGGCCACGACCATGACTAGAACCCAATTCTTACGTACTTCATTATCTCGGTCCTTTTCCAGGAAGTGACGGGCCACGTGGCTCGGCAGAATATTGCGTAGCATATTTTCGTTATGTTCTCTTAATTCTTTCATCTCATTGATTTCTTCTTTGGCCTGGCCGCGCCACAGAAAGTCAAGCCTTGCTGTGTATTCAAGCTGCAAAGACAGAAAAGCCTCTTTTTAATTGAACATGTAGTCTATCTTTAAGAATAGGTACCTAAGAGAAGTGAGGGTAGATAGTGAATCAGTGCTAGGGTGACATAGTAGATAGGGAGAAGCATTAACTTCCAGATTTGGACTTGAAATAATCTGGCAGTTAATGAAACCAGGTGCAGAGATATTCATATTAAACCAGAAGTTCCCAACCTTTTGGGTAGCAGGGACTGGTTCCACGGAGAGAGGTTTTTCTACGGACCAGAGGGTGCGTGGTTTTGTGTGCTTCCTGCATCCCGTGGATGGGGCTTTGCTTGTTTGTGCGGACCGGTTACTGGCATGCCGCGGACCTGTACCAGTCCATGGACCGGGGGTTGGGGACCCCTGTATTAGACTGTTGGGGGTGATTTGTAGACTATCTTCAAGGACAAACACAGATCTAGTACATGGAAGAGGTAAGAGGAAAGCAGGCAGAGCTGGGTGATGGAGTTAAGTGCATCATCAGCTTAGAGTCGTTACATTGCCACAAATGGTCTGAGTCCAACTCCTCTTGAATTGTCTTGACTCTGATCTGATGCCAATTTAGTATTGAACTTTAGTTGACTAGATGCTTATTTATAGACTTGACAAATAAACTTTGTTGAGCTACAATTTAACATATGGTCCTGATTCTTTGCGCCTGACATTAAACCACTCGATTAAACATTTGGGATCCTCAGATTCTTGGGGCGTAGGAAAAGATATTTTAATTCATTCCTCCAAAAATTAGCCATTTCCATGTATATTTTTTTCTTTCTGAAGTAAAAGTCAATTGAGACCATTTTTTTTCCTTTTAAAATGTTCCCTGGGGATAAGCTAGAGAGGAAAGGGTTAAAACTCCTCTCCCTCTCTAAAAAGATGCTGATGTGAGTAGCTACTCTGAAGCAAATAAAATTAGAGAAGGAGTTCCACAATATGTAATTAATGTAATGTGTAGTTTGTCCTTAAGAATAGCCAGCTAAGTCAAAGTTTAGAAACATATTATATCAATTCCAGTGTGAAGATTTATAAATGTCATTGCACCAATGATGTGTCCTTTGAATCTCTAGGTGTGTAATTTAGTAAAAAAAAAACCTCCATGGGCATCATTATACTTTATTGCACTCCATGTTAAAGTAACCTTTTGTACTGGAGTCACATGCAGTGGACAAAATGAGCTAAAGATAAAAAAAGATTAACAAAATAACAGTAGAACAGAGGGGATCTTGGAGGTCTTCTAGTCCAACCTCCTGCTCAAGCAGGAGGTCCTATAGCATTTCAGACAAGTGGCTGTCCAATCTCTTCTTAAAAATCTCCAGTGATGGAGCACCCACAACTTCTGGAGGCAAGCTGTTCCACTGGTTAATTGTTCTCATTGTCAGGAAATTTATTCTCAGTTTTAGATTGGTTCTCTTCTTGATTAGTTTCCATCCATTGCTTCTTGTTCTTCCTTCAGGTGTTTTGGAGAATAGGTTGACCCCTTCTTCTTTGTGGCAGCCCCTCAAATATTGGAACCCTGCTATCATGTCACCCTAGTTCTCTTTATTACACTAGACATATCCAATTCCTGCAACCTGTTTTTCGTATGTTTTACCCTCCACCCCATAATCATTTTTGTTGCTCTTCTCTGCATTCTTTCTAGAGTCTCAACATCTAACCCAAAACTGGATGCAAAATTCCAAATGTGGTCTTACCAAGGCATTATAAAGTAGTATTGACACGTCGCATGTTATTGTGGGAGGTGGGTAATGTTTATTATATACTCCCAGACAGAAAGACATTTCAGTCATAAAGTTAACTGGAATTTCTGGATATATTATTATATCCATAGACATATTGACAGGACTTTGTCTTTCTTATATTTGAAAACCATCCCTTTTTCTTGTATTATATTTCTGGCCCTAAGCAGAGCTAAATTAGGACTACAATGCTTAATGACTACACTTTATAGCAGAGGTGCAAAAATATAGGTCTAGTGTAGAGGTCCCCAACCTTTTAGGCACCAGGGACCAGTTCTATGGAGAGAGGTTTTTCCATGGACTGGAGGAGGCGTGGTTTTATTTATTTATTTATTTATTTATTTATTTATTTATTTATTTATTTATTTATGAGACTTATATACCGCTTTAAGTGCAAGCACTCTCTAAGCGGTGTACACCAGTAAGCAATGTATATATATATTTTACATTGCCCCCAACAATCTGGGTCCTCATTTTACCTACCTCGGAAGGATGGAAGGCTGAGTCAACTTTGAGCCGGTGAGATTTGAACCGCTGACCTGCTGAACACAGTCAGCTAAAGTGGCCTGCAGTACTGCACTCTAACTGCTGCGCCACCTCGGCTCGTTGTGTTGCCTGCATCCCATGGATGGGGCTTTGCTTGTTTGTGCAGACTGGTTGCTGGCATGCCGTGGCCCAGTACTGGTCCACGGACCGGGGGTTGGAGACCCCTAGTCTACTGCAGGGGTAGGCAGTCTTGCCCCTTTTATGACTTGTGGGCTTCAACTCCCAGAATTCCTGAGCCAGACATGCTGAGGGGAAAGGGAGAGGTTTCCAGCTGAGCCATGCTGGCTCAGGAATTCTGGGAGTTGAAGTCCACGAGTCATAAAAGAGCCAAGGTTGCCTACCCCTGGTCTAGTGCATTACTTTCTAACCTTGGTAACTTCCCCAAGCATGCTGACTGGGGGAATTCTGGGAATTGAAGTCCAGACACCTTAAAGTTGCTAAGGTTGGGAAACACGAATCTAGTGGTTAAGGTGTTGGACTAGGACTAGAGAAATATGAATTGTAGTCTTGCCTTAGGCACAAAGCCTAACTGACCGTGGACCAGTCAATCTCTCACAGCCCTGGGAAGGAGGCAATGGCAAACCACTTGCAAAGTCTTGCCAAGAAAACTGCAGAGACCAGTCCAAGCAATTGCTAGGACTCAACACTGACTTGAAGGTTTCCCCTTTGAACACTTGAAAAGTACACACAGACACATACACAAACACATACCCTATTGGGGAGGCTTCATACCATATGAAGCCTGAGTGGAAAATGCTTGTTCAGATATTGTTCCAAAGGTCTTTTTTCAGGAGGCAACTGGACTTTCTTGTTTTTCTTTGAAGACGTTTTGCTTCTCATCCAAGAAGCTTCTTCAGCTCTGACTAGATGGTGGGGAAGTCAGAGCTGAAGTAGCTTCTTGGGAGAGAAGCGAAATGTCTTCAAAGAAAAACAAGAAAGCCCACTTGCCTCCTGAAAAAGCATCTTTGGGACAACCATGACCTGGATGGCTGAGAATATCCATAGACATCCTGTCAGACATCCCTTGTCCAGTTCTTAACTAGAATAAGTGTGTGTGTGTGTGTGTGTGTGTGTGTGTGTGTGTGTGTGTGTGTGAAAAATGCCAACTTATTTATGAGATTTTTCATAAATATTTATTCTCCCTTGGCAATTTTTCATTTTCTAACAAAAGGAAAGAAAACCATTTTTTTCTTTAAAGAGCCAAGAAAATTTTTAGCAGATGCTATTTCAGATCATTATCTGCTCTTTAAACAAAATTTAAACAAAATGAAATGCCTTTCAAGTTGAGCTTGACTTTTGGTGTCTTTCCTAGGCACGTCCATGTTGTTCTGCTTTTGGCAACACAAAAGTGGTTTTCCATTGCCCTTTTCTGATTTTTTTTCTCCCCTTTTTGTTACTTTATGTAGTTTACAAGCCTAGGACCATCCAAATATTGACCACATCAAAACCTTCTTATGCTGTTGGGATCCATTAAGGTTTGATAGATGCTGCCAGCTAGCTAAGCATCCTTCTTATCTTTTTTCCTTTGGAAATATAATGTGGGTTTATGAGTTCCTTTTTGCTTTAATGTAACTTGATTATGTTCCTGGACACCAGAGTGCAACAAAATGACTTTAGAAGCATATAATATTTACGTTCAAAAGTCATTGCTTCTATTTCCCAATGACTGTTCCAAGAGTATCTGATTTACCATAAATCTAAAGAAGTCTAATTGACTCTTTGTGAGAATTATTTTTTAATATAAATTGAGGACTTTGTAGAAGACATCCTCCAGACCTATTGACTATGGGAGAAGAGATGTCTAGAAGAAATTACATTATAGGGAAAGAAAAAAGTCCCAGTCTTGGGATTTTCCGAAGACAAATTTAATTAAAAGCGTACATGTTTCTCATTAAGGATGGATCTGAAACCAAAGAAGGAACAAAAATACTGGATGGTACAAGGTATCGGAGGAAGACTGCAGCCTGAATGGGAAGTCTGACAGTTGTTTGCTATTAACCACCATTGTGAATTATGGGCATGACATTTTCCCCCCAAAGGACTTGCTCATTCCATTTGAGAATGCTTTGAAAGCCTAGAGCAGGGGTAGGCAACCTTGGCTCTTTTATGACTCGTGGACTTCAACTCCCAGAATTCCTGAGCCAGCCATGCTGAAAGGAAAGGGAGAGGTTTCCAAGCTGACCCATGCTGGCTCAGGAATTCTGGGAGTTGAAGTCCACGAGTCATAAAAGAGCCAAGGTTGCCTACCCTTGGCCTAGAGCAACGTTCAGCAGCTCAAAGTTCAGATAAATCTCAGCATGGATAACTGTCTAAAAGATTCTCTTGCACCTGGCTATTTTTGTCGTGAGAAATTCATTTCCTCCAGTTATTTTATCACAAGAGGAGGAAAACGTTTTTACAATGACTCCCTCAGATCAAGCAGCAACCTAGACCAAGAGCAACGTTCAGCAGCTCAAAGTTCAGATAAATCTCAGCATGGATAACTGTCTAAAAGATTCTCTTGCACCTGGCTATTTTTGTCGTGAGAAATTCATTTCCTCCAGTTATTTTATCACAAGAGGAGGAAAACGTTTTTACAATGACTCCCTCAGATCAAGCAGCAACCTAGACCAATGTTTTTCAAGCTTGGAAAATTTAAGAAGGGTGGACTTCAATTTCCAGAATTCCCCAGCCAGCATTCTTGGCTGGGAATTTGGGGAGTTGAAGTCCACCCCTCTTAAAGTTGTCAAGTTTGAGAAACACGGACATAGAACGTCCTCTAATTTTTTTTTCTGGGCCGTGATATGGAAATAATTGGCTCTTGCTCTCTCCATGCTGGGAAGTTTTCCAATTTCCTAATCTAGTTCACAGCCTGAGGGTTTCATGATGGTCTCACATCCAAATCCAGGTCAGATTCTAGTCATGACATAAATATGTGGGATGAACCGAGTCATCATGGGAAGCTACTATCTGGGTTTTGTTTGGTTCTTGCAGAAAATGTAAACAGAGAAACTAGGTTTTTCTCCGTCTTTACTGAGATTTTAGGTTATTGGCCATTCAATTTTGCCAAGATTCTATACCAGGAGCCCTGTGGTTAGAATGCAGTATTGCAGGCAAACTCTGCCCACAGTCTTGAGTTCGACCCTGATTGGCTCAAGGTTGATTCAGTTGTCCATCCTTCTGAGGTTAGTAAAATGAGGACCCAGATTGTTGGGGGCAAGATGTTGACATTGTAAACTGATCAGAGAATGCTGTAAAGCACCCCAGGGTGATATTTAAGTCTAAGTGCTATTGCTATTGCTATTCTTCTCCCTATATTCAGAGGAGGGGCAGGGTGCAGTGGGACGGAAGTGCTAAACTACGTGTCACAGTGTCAACTTTACCCCTTGCCTACTTACCTATGACATCGCCACTTAAAGAAGAGAAGGTAGAGCTTGCATTATAACTTCCTAAACTACAATTTGTCATGAGGACACTACCTCAGACTGTCCTGGATATCTATACAATTAATCATCAACGTATGATCACAACGGAGCCCAACATTTATATTGCTAAGCAAGACAATTAAGTGAATTTTACTCCATTTTTACAACCTTTCTCGCCACAGTTGTTAAGTGAATCACTGCCGTTGCTAAGTTACTAACCCGGTTGTTAAGTGAATCTGGCTTCCCCATTGAATTTGCTTGTCAGAAGGGCGCAAAAGGGGATAACATGACCTTGGGACACTGCAACCGTCGTTAGGTACATGCCAGTTGCCAACTGTCCGAATTTTGATCATGTGATCGTGGGGAAGTTGCAACTTTCAGCAACAGGGGCCACACTGGGCCATAAAAGAGTAGCTCCCAATATTTATTTATGGAAACTCTGCATCCTCTAATTTTCCAAGTGTTTTGAAGAAAATCTATAGTATAAATGGACACATTAGAAATTATCCCATGCAAGGCATCTCTTGGGGAGTCAGTGCAATGCAAATAAAAAAGGGGCGGAGCTTTAACTGCATGACCGTGTGGCTGCCATCTTGACTTTTTTGACCTACACCCTATAGACATCCCCAATCTCATATGTAATAAGATATTTCTTTCCTGCAATTTTATTTTTATTTTATTTTATCCTTTTTCTACAGATTCCCAACCAGGAAATCTGCCATTCTCGTAACAGCTGCTTTGCCCTGCTTGGACTTTGAACTGATTTTTGATTTTCCAACTAGAGTGAGTTGGATAGAGACAGATAAGATATTCTGAAACAGCTTTCTATTTATAATATTTCCACAGCAATAAAAAAAAAGAAAGAAGCTGCACAGAGCTGGCCGTGTGCTCATTTTAATTGGCCTTTCTTTAAGGTTAATCAGGCCTTCAATTATTGAAGGTCATGAAATACTTTAGCCTGATATTTAATTATTTGCTCCAAAGGGGAGCTATGATTGGCAGGCTCTAGCAGAGCAAGTTGTGTGCGTGTGTGTTGGGGTATTTTCTGCTGGGAAATGGTGCATATGGCAAAGAAGGTTTTTCCTTACCTGTTGGCCGTGATAAAATACAGCTAACAGGAACATGGCCATGAGGAGCAATGAAGCTTCTTTCGTCCCCAGAAAATCTGTGCTATAAACAGAAAGAAAAGAGATAGAGGAAGAGGTAGCGATTAAAAAAAAAAAAAAACAGGAAAGAAGAGCAAAGCTTAAAACAAAAACCTTTTCCTATTGTTTTGTTTTTAATTTGTCAGGTACGAAAGCTGGCCTGGTGACTTTGGGCCAATCACCAGGAGATTGGAAGATTTAGCCCTGCCTTGTCATGTGTGAATGCAGGAAGGAAAAAGTCAAGAGAATAGGGTATAGAGCAGGGGGTCTTCAAACTTGGCCCTTTTATAACTTGTGGACTTCAACTCCCAGAATTCCTCAGCCAGTTCAAACTTGGCCCTTTTATGACTTGTGGACTTCAACTCCCAGAATTCCTCAGCCAGTATGCCTGGCTGAGGAATTCTGGGAATTGAAGTCCACAAGTCATAAAAGGATCAAGTTTGAAGACCCCTGGTATAGAGTGCATGTGGAAAACATATCAGGAAATGGATGCATTTGTTCTCTTTCAGACTCTGACATTTATTCTCAGAATGACAGAACAACAGAGTTGGAAGGGAACTTGGAGGTCTTCTAGTCCAACCCCCTGCTCAATCTGGGGACCCTATAGCTTTCCAGACAAATGGCTCTTCAGTTTCTTCTGAAAAACCTTATGTGATGGAGCACCCCGCAATTTCTAGAGGCAAGTCGTTCCACTGATTATTTGTTCTCACTGTCAGGAAATTTCTCCTTAGTTCTAAGTTGGTTCTCTCCTTGGTTGGTTTCCATCCATCTCAAAAGATTTCAGACACAACTATTTCTCGCTTCAAAATATTCTATGCGGAATTAAGTCAGACACTTTTTTTTGGGGGGGGGGGGCATCCCTTCTATATGAGAATTCCCTGCCCTAGCTGGGGTTCTTGTCTGGGTTTCCCACCTGATGCTAAAAACTCTCTCCAGTTCCATGTTCCTGCTGAGATGACAGTCAACGAAAAGCCCCTGGCAATGAAAGATTGACACATCAAACCAGCCGTGATATTGCTTTCCTCTTTCAGGGACCATAATAAGGCTTTCCCGCTTTCATTTCTGCCCGTCTTTTTTTTTTCCCCAGCTGATGAGATATTTCTAGCATCACTGCAGAATTATCTTGTCTAGAGATGAGATGATTCAGGTAAGGCTCTGTATATTGGTCGAGGCTATTTTTGTTCCATTGTTCTGAAGAAATAAGCAGGGGCTGCGGAATAATTGCATACTGAGACGCAGCAGCCTCTTAGCACCTTTTTTTGGCAGATTATTTCCCTCCATGGAAGAAACCTAACATGCCAGACACCCCCCCCCCACCCCCATCTGGAAGGTAATAGATGCACCTGGAAGAGATTTTGCTCCAGGCGACTGTCATGAAAATGACTGACAAGCTAAGGGATTGGAAAAAATTGTAGCTACTCTGTTTTTGACAGTTACATTTTACTTTGAGGAGCTATTTTATATAAGGAATATGATGCAGAGCAGAGGAACATCTATTCAGATTTGTTATTTACTTATTAAACATATACGCCACCCGTCCCACTGTCTAAAGTATCTCTCCGTGGCTAAATTTTGGTTAAAGAGTTCCAATTCAAAACAGTTCAGCCCTTAAGCTGCAATTTGATGCAGGGGTTAAAGGTGCTGGATTAGAACTAGGAGACTATGAGTTCTAGTCCCTCCATGGGCAGGAAAGATGGCTGGGTGACTTTGGGCCAATCATCAGGAGACTGCGAGCTCTAGTCCCTTCTTAGGCATGAAAGCTAGTTGGATCAATCTGGGCCGATCACCGGGAGATTGTGAGTTCTAGTTCCAGCTTTCCCACTTTTGAAAAAATTTCCACAAAAGAGACCTAAAACAAGTTTTGCGGGCCCAATTGGCAGTTTGGTATAGGTTGGAAACATGTGGAAGAGGCCTTCATCCTGTAGTGGATAGAAGAAGAAGAAGAAGAAGAAAAAGAAGAAGAAGAAGAAGGAGGAGGAGGAGGAGGAGGAGGAGGAGGAGGAGGAGGAGGAGGAGGAGGAGGAGGAGGAGAAGAAGAAGAAGAAGAATGTGGAGGAGGAGGGAGGAGGAGGAGGAGAATTCAACCTTAAACATGAAAGTCAGTTGGATGATTTTGGGCCAATCATCAGGAGACTGTGAGATTTAATCCTGCTTTAGGGCCAGTCCCTCTCTCTTGGCCCAACCTACCTCACAGGGTTGTTGTTGTGGGGAAAAAGAGGAGAAGGAAGGAGTATTAAATATGTTTTCTGCCTTGAGTTATTTATAAAAAAATAATATAAAGGCGGGATGAAAATCTAATGAATAAACAAATAGGTAAATAAAGACTTACTCTCCATTATGATTGATGTCATCGTACTGGAGAAACAGGGAAGCATAAATGGTCTCAGTCAGGAAGCAGTAGATTGCAATCATGATGAGCAGCACGGCCAACTTGAGGACCGAATTGAGACGAAGAAACACGGCACAGGTCACCATAGCCAGGATACCGGTAAAGACGAAATACTTTATAAAGAAAATTGGGAGAAACATCAGCATTTAGCTCAGCAACCTAAACTAATATATTCAAAATCTCATAGAGAATCAAGTATTGGAAGATGGCTATCATGTCTCTCCTAAGCCTTCTCTTTGTTAGGCTAAACATCCCAAATTCTCTTAGCCATTCATCATATGATCAAACCTACAGACCAGGGGTCTTCAAACTTGGCAACTTTAAGACTTGTGAACTTCAGCTCCCAGAATTCCTCAGCCAGCCAATATTGTTACAGGGGCCCCCAGCTATTCTCTAGGTTTATTAATATGATTATTGGGTTGGTCTAGTGCAGGGGTCTTCAAACTTGCCAACTTTAAGACTTGTGGACTTCAACTCCTGGAGTTCCTCAGCCAGCCCTGGTTGAGATCCTTTATCAACTTCAGATCCTTTATCAACTTCATTGCTCTTCTCTGCACTCTTTCTAGGGCCTCAGAATCTTTTTCTTATATTTATAGAGAGAGTTGAAAGCAACATCATTGACTAGATGAGAATTTGCTGGGAAAAATATAGAGGAATTTCTCTGCTAACATAGACACATGCAACACCTGAAAACGTTTTGAGAGCTCTTGAAACTGTGCTGAAGTTACTGAATCAGCCCTAAAAGTCAACTCCTAGTAGGTCCTCTTCTACAGTGGGATTCTATTGACCACTGACATTTTCTCTCTTATATAGGAGAATTCCTGCATTTTAAGACTGGAATATCATGTTCCTGCCCTCTGGTTGTTTTGGACTATACGACCCATATATCCTGACAATAGACCATGTGTAATCTGAAATATCTGGAGAGCCCCAGGATACAAATGGTTGAGCTAGAGCAGGGGTAGGCAACCTTGGCTCTTTTATGAGTCGTGGACTTCAACTCCCAGAATTCCTGAGCCACCCATGCTGAGGGGAAAGGGAGAGCTTTCCAAGCTGAGCCCTGCTGGCTCAGGAATTCTGGGAGTTGAAGTCCACGAGTCATAAAAGAGCCAAGGTGATTTAGAGGAAGTTTGGAAAGGATCTTTCAAGCTCACTTGAAGTGAAGCAACATGGTACAGACCGTCTTTGACTTACAACTGCCACTGAGCCGGGAAATTTTCTGTTGTTAAGTGAGCCATTTGTTAAGTGAGTTTTGCCCCATTTCACGGCTTTTCTTGCCACAGTTGTTAAGTGAATCATTCTGATTGTTAAGCAGTAACACGGTGGTTAAGTGAATCTGGCTTCCCCATTGACTATGCTTGTCAGGAAACCGCAATGGCTGTTCACGTGACCCCGGGACACTGCAACCGTCATAAATATGAATCAGTTGCCAAGCATTCGAATTTTGATCACGTGACCATGGGGATGCTGCAACGATTGTTAAATGTGAAGAACGGTCATGGGTCCCTTTTTTTCAGTGCCGTTGTAACATTGAACCGTCACTAAACGGCCTGTTGTAAGTGGAGGACTGTCTGTAGTTTCACAGTATCACTGAAAGAAAGTTTTGCTTTGAGGTTTCACATGATCCTAAAGCTTGGTATCATCCGTCGTTGCCTAGCCTAACATATTGTGTTGTCTTTTCTCCGCGCAAAATGATATACTTAGGATTACCTCTGGATACGAGCAAATGTCTGTAAAATATACCGAAGAGTTGAAAGTTTGATTCTTAAAAGGCAGTTGTTTGTCCAAGTCACACCAGAGCTGTGGACAAAGAAAAAAAGAATAAGAATAAGAAAAGCAGTGCAATTGTTTGGCAGAATGTTTTTTGGGAAAGGGAGGAAGAAGAAGGTTTGATTGGGCAAAGAGAGAAGCAATCTAGAACTAAGGAGAGATTTCCTGATAGTTAGAACAGTTAACCAGTGGAACAACCTGCCTCCAGAAGTTGTGAATGCTCCAACACTGGAAGTTTTTAAGAAGAGACTGGACAGCCATTTGTCTGAAATGGTATAGGATTTCCTACCTGAGCAGGAGGTTAGACTAGATGACCTCCAAGATCCCTTCCAACATAATAATGATAATAATAATAATAATAATCATCATCATCAGCAGCAGTATCACTATTACTATTACTACTACTATTAAAGAAGACAATAGTGTTAATGTCTTTGAGAACAAGCAATTAAATTTCATTTTTAAAGTATGCCATTGTGTCCACAGTAAAAAATGACAATGGTGATCTATCTATCTATCTATCTATCTATCTATCTATCTATCTATCTATCTATCTATCTATCTATCTATCTATCTATCTATCTATCTATCCATCCATCCATCCATCCATCCATCCATCCATCCATCCATCCATCCATCCATCTATCTATCTATCTATCTATCTATCTATCTATCTATCTGATGTCTCCAGCTCTGTGAGAATACTCTGGAATAAAAAAAACCACTTGGGAAAAGCAGAAAAATAACCCTGTATCTCTTGTAGAAGTCATATCCTGAGGGCAGCAGCAAACAACTGTCTTGAAATGATGAAGACCCTGTAATGCCTAGGCTGACAAAATGCTTGCATTGGAAGACATATTAAAAGGATCACCACTTAACCATATTAGAAAGCAAACCACATAGTTCCCACTTTCTTTTATCTCTGTGGGAATTTTGTGAGGCCTGCAGGCAACCTTTCCAGGTTCTAAGTATGGTTCTAGGACCGGGATTTTTTTTCCCTTGTATTATGCCCGATTTCCATTTTAATATTTCAAAAATATATATTAAAAGAGTCTTTTGTTTTAAGACACTCTTATGAAATGGGCGGCCATATAAATACGATAGATGATAAATAGATACCGTAGATAGATAGATAGATAGATAGATAGATAGATAGATAGATAGAGAGAGAGAGAGAGAGAGAGAGAGAGATATGATGATAGATAATAAATAGATGATAGATACAGATGATTGATAGATAAATGATATATGACTGATAGATGATAGATGATGATAGTGAGGATGATGATGAATAGACAGTAGACAAAGACACCAATGGGTCATCTGAGCCCCCCTGAAAGATTGAATACTCTGGGGTTTGATTTCCTCCCTCCCTCCCTCTCCTTCCTCCCTCCCTCTCCTTCCTCCCTTCCTCTCCTTCCTTCCTCCCTCCCTCTCTCCCTTTCCTCCCTCTCTCTTCTCTCTCTCCTTCCTTCCTTCCTTCCTTCCTTCCCTCCTCCCTCCCTCCCTCCCTCTCCTTCCTTCCTTCCTTCCTCCCTCCCTCCCTCCCTCCCTCCCTCTCTCCCTCCCTCCCTCTCCTTCCTTCCTTCCTTCCTTTTCCAAGGAGAAAAATATATTTAAATACTTTCATGCAAAATATCAGAAGCTACTATCCTGGGAAATCAGCTTCTCACAATCTTTCACCTTGCAGATTTTTGGGTTATAGCTCTCATCACAGCCAGCTAGAATGACAGAGTATTATGAAAGTACCAACCAGAATATTTGTAGCTCAAACCTCACAGTATAATGATAGGTTTGTAGACCAGCATATCGGAAAGGCATCGGTTTGAGTAAAGTTGCTTTTAATTTCTAGCTTATACTTTTTCTGCCCCCTTCTCCATTCAGACAACCTTTCCCTTCTTAAATACTTACAATATTGATGACGGCTCCCAGGAAATTAATCATAATTGAAGCAAAGATGACGACATTTCGGGCCAGGTAGGTCTCATTAATCCAGCAGCAAGTTTTCCGGAGCACCAGGGGTAAACATTTGTAATCCTCTGCAGTGGTTATCAGCACGAGAGCTGAATGTAATATAATTAGAATCGAAAACTGGACAATCATCGGGATCATTCTGGAGAAGGAAGTCAGACGCACATACTTAGAAGATGGAAAAGCAGCCTCCTCCTGCATTTATAGGAAGAGTAAAATCTAATGTTTCAGGGCTTCATTAACTCTTCTAATTTCATCTTCTCGGGACAGATCATCCTGGAGAATGTCTACTCATGGAGTCATTAAGAGTTTGACGCCAACTTACTGGCACTTAATCAATCCACTTTTATTCTTGTGCATGTGCATGCAATATACTTGTAGATGTAGGAGAGGAGCAGGCAAAACTGGGGGCGGAGTTAAGTATGTGATCAGCTTAGAATCCTTATGTTGCCACAAATGGTCCAACCCTCTTGAATTCCACTGACCCGAATCTAGTACCAGTTTAGTGCCCACTCAGCACTGTATTTCTATCTATTTCTATTCCTAGTAGCTATTTATTTAAGGGCACTGTTCTATTGGTGTCCACAGAATCAGAAAGAAAAAACTTCCTCCCATTTTCATCCTTATTTTTGGGAAAAAGAAAAAAAAGTAACAGAAAATGGACCACTCAGAGCCGAATGTAATATAATTAGAATTGAAAACTGGACAATCATTGGAAGCATTCTGGAGAAGGAAGTCAGACATACATACTTAGAAGATAGAAAAACAGCCTTCTCCTGCATTTATGAGTAAAATCTAATGTTTCAGGGCTTTGTTAACATTTCTAATTTCATCTTCTCAGGACAGATCATCCTGGAGAATGTCTACTCATGGAGTCATTGAGAGTATGACGCCAACTTATTGGCACTTAATCCATTTTTATTCTTGTGCATGTGCACGCAATATACTTGTAGATGTAGGAGAGGCAGAGCTGAGGGAGGGAGTTAAGTGCGTGATCAGCTTAGAATCCATATGTTGCCACAAACGGTCTTGAATCCCATTGACCCAAATCTAGTGCCAATTTAGTATTGAACTTTAGTTGACTAGATTCTTGTGTAGAGACTTGAGCAATAAATCTTAACCTATGGTCTGATCCTTTACGCCTGACTGCAGAGGACCTATACAAATATAACCTGTTCTTATATGACAGGATGACTAAAACAGTGCTTTTCTAAGACCAAATGAACTGTATGCGCAAAGAGAAACATTACAAGATAAGCATAATACTGCTTTGGAACTAAGATGAACTTTGGGATGCTAGCCAATAACCCCCACTCCTGATAACTCTTCTGAAGCTTAATAAAACCACCTTTGTACTGTTGTGTACCTCTAAGTCAGTCCTAACTTCTGATGACCCCATGGACAACTTCATGGAGTCTTCTTAGCCACATCTTCAGATGGGCCACTGACTTTTCTCTAAGGCTGAGAGACAGAGACTGGCTGAAATCCACCCACCTGGTTTCATTTCCCAGTTTCTAGCACAGTGCCTTTAACCACTACACCACACTGCCCCGATTCCAAGCACCACAATGGGGTGCTTAATGATAACTATCTTTATGCAGGAACCCAGGTTCCCTCTGCTATGGAAACTCAGGAAAATGGAAACTTTGCCGTGACTCCAGTTAATCTCTCTATTCCAACCCATGGAACTTACCTCGAAGAAGGAAGTAGACTTTGGATGGCGGTGATAAATACCAGGACAATGAATGCACACACCAAGTTTGACTTGAACACCTCGTCCCTCATTTGGGAGTACTGAAATAGAAAACAGTAGACAAAAGGAACCAAGTAAGTGAAGTTTCTAGATCAACTCTAGAAAGGGAGCGAGGCACGTGTATGAGGCTTCTGGGGAATTAGTAAACAGAGCTCAGTAAAGGAAGCATATTCCTGGGATAAGTATTAGTATATTAATAAATGAAAATATTTATAGCTGAGGATTGGAATGGGGGAGGGAAATCTTTGGTGCTTTCTGAGCTTGGTTGTTTTCTTGCAGACATTTCATTACCCTACTGGGTAACATCACCAGTGCTAGTAAGGAGTGGGTTTACTCTCAGATTATATTCTAGTGGCAAACCCCACTCCTTACTGATGTTACCCAGTTGGATAATGAAATGTCTGCAAGAAAACAATCAAGCTTAGAGAGCACCAAGGAGTCCACAATCCTCCTCCTCCTCCTCCTCCTCCTCCTCCTCCTCCTCCTCCTCCTCCTCCTCCTCCTCCTCCTCCTCCTCTTCTTCCTCCTCCTCCTCTCTCTTCTAGCACTGATGATGTTAGTTTGGGTAATGAAACGTCTGCAAGAAAACAACAAAGCTCAGAGAGCAGCAAGGATCCCACCCCCCCATTCAGTGTATTGTTTAACATCCATCCAAAGAAATATCCCATCAAAACAAACATGCTTGCAAGACCCATGGAAGAATGGCACGTCCCCAACCTAGGGGACCAGTAATTCCATCTTTGCATTGAGCTTTGCTAAGCTTGCTTAGTCACCTAGTTAGGTGCAATTTGTTTTAAAGGATAGGTGGCCCCATTGAAGGGAGAAGGTGATTTAGAAATAAAGCCAGATACGGAAAAAGTGCATCTAATGGGAATAGTTTTAGGAGCTTGCTTGAATTCTGCAGTCTCATCTGAAATAATAATAATAATAATAATAATAATAATAATAATAATAATAATAATATAGGTAGTCCTCAACTTACGATCACAATTGAGTCCAACATTTATGTTGCTAAGCGAGACAATTGCTAAGTGAGTTTTGCCTCATTTTATGACCTTTCTTGCTACAGTTGTTAAGTGAATCGCTGCAGTTGTTAAATTAGTAACATGGTTGTTAAGTGAAGCTGGCTCCCCCCCCATTGACTTTGCTGGTCAGAAGGTCACAAAAGGGGATCACGTGACCCCAGGATGCTGAAACCGTCCTAAATACGAGTCGGTTGCCAAAAATCTGAATTTTGATCACGTGACCACGGGGAGGCTGCAACGGTTGTAAGTATGAAAAACTATCATAAGTCACTTTTTTCAGTGCCGTTGTAACTTTGAATGGTCACTAAGTGAAATGTCGTAAGTCGAGGACTACCTGTACTCCAGTCTAAACTGACTGGCTGACTATGTGATGAACCACTATAATAATAACAACAAAAAGCCTTAGAAAATCTACAAATTGACAACATTTCCATCTGTCAATTAGAAAAGGCCAGACTGCTTGAATCCACACAATCTACTACCTCAATACATTATGACAGCCTAGGCCAGGGGTAGGCAACCTTGGCTCTTTTATGACTCGTGGACTTCAACTCCCAGAATTCCTGAGCCAGCATGGCTCAGCTTGGAAACCTCTCCCTTTCTCCTCAGCATGGCTGGCTCAGGAATTCTGGGAGTTGAAGTCCACGACTCATAAAAAAGAGCCAAGGCTGCCTACCCCTGGCCTAGTCCCAAAGATGCTTTTTCAGGAGGCAACTGGACTTTCTTGTTCTTCTTTGAAGACGTTTCACTTCTCATCCAAGAAGCTTCTTCAACTCTCAGCTCTCAGCTGAAGAAGCTTCTTGGAAGAGAAGAGAAATGTCTTCAAAGGAAAAAACAAGAAAGTCCAGTTGCCTCATGAAAAAGCACCTTTGGGACAACCATGGCCAGGATGACTGAGAATCTCCATAGACATATGATAGCCTAGGCAAGGGGTCTTCAAACGTGGCCCTTTTGTAACTCCCAGAATTCCTCAAAATTCCTCAGAATTCCTCAAAATTCCTCAGGCATGCTGGCTGAGGAATTCTGGGAGTTGAAGTCCACAAGTCACAAAAGGGCCAAGTTTGAAAACCCCTGGCCTAGGTTGTTGGGAATGAAAGGACAACATTAGCTAAACAACTGGCAGCTGCAATTTCACATTGTTGGCCTCAACCTATAACCATCCCTTGACTGACAGTTCAAAGTTATGATGGGCCCCCACAAAAGGGATTTATGATCCGTTTTGTAAGTTCCCACACTGAGGCCCACCCCCTTGTGTAGTCGCATGACTGCATTCTTGCTGCTTGGCAACCGGCTCTCCCTTATGGCTGATTGTAGCATCTCATGGTCACATGACCACAATTTACAGTGGTTTTTTTTTTTTAACCAAAAAACAGCATTCCCACTTTCATCAAAATTGGGCCATAGGAAATAATAGATTTGCTTTACAACCCTAGCATTCACTTAATGACTGTCACAAAAAGGGACATAAATTTAGGTCAGTTCCAATCGTCATGACTTACAACCGTGATGGGCATACGTCAAGGACTATCTGTACACAATTACAACAGGAACCCACTAGATCAGGGGTAGGCAACTTCGCCTCTTTTATGACTCATGGACTTCAACTCCCAGAATTCCTGAGTCAGCTATGCTGACTCAGGAATTCTGGGAGTTGAAGTCCATGAGTCATTAAAGAGCCGAGGTTGCCTACCCCTGCACTAGATTGTGACTGTTATGCACAGGTCTGTGGTAAATGTGTCTTGAGATATCAGGACCATTTGGGTTTCACAAGGTTGTTTAGCTATTGAATCATCCATTGCAGTCATTAAGGGAGGAGTGCCAATTTTTTCGAATTGCTGAACATTTTCACGCTGTTGAGAAGATATGCAGGACATAATTGGATGTGTAGCACTGATTCATTCGAATAACTTCCTATCACTCCCTTGTTGCAATATTCCTCTCTTTATTATTGTCAAGCCCCAAACCAGGAGTGGCAATTGATGATTCTCCCAAGCTTTCTTTTGCTGTTGTTTCACACTTGTAGGGAAAAAAAAATCTTGCCAGAATGAGGACTCTACTATCTTCATCTATAATAAACTAGGTCAGTGGTGGCGAATCTATGGCACGCGTGCCAGAGGCGGCACTCGGAGCCCTCTCTGTGGGCACATGTGCCGTTGCCTCAGCCTCACCTCCTCCCTTGACCCTCTCCTTTCCAGCAGCCCCCCTGGAGGAGAGTTGCCCCCAATCATGGCCCACACGGAGCAGTGCAGCCAAGGACATGGCAGCCAGGCAGTGTAGACAAGACTCTGCCCTCATGCCCCATCATGCACAGTTGATGCTGCGGGGCGTGGACAGAGGGCATGGCCACCATGGTGCTGCTTGGCTGCCTAGATGATCTGCAGCGGACCCTGGAGGCGGTGAGTGGCCCTGTGGGCAGGTGGGGTGGTGATGGAGCAGGGGTGGGGCAGGGGGTGGAGCGGGAGCGGGGCCAGTTTTTGGCCACTCAGTCTCTAAAAGGTTCGCCATCACTGAATTAGGTGAACTATTAGGGAGGAGCTGTCTTCACCCTCTCTCTCACACACAGAATATCTGGGCTGAGTTGCCTCTTACTTCTCTAGAAAGCACCCCTCCCTCCCAGAATCCACTTCCTCATTGATTCCATCACATTTATACTTGTATATATTTCTCTTGGTGGGGCCGGGGTGGTGGTAGATAAGCATAACAGATAAGGACATTTTGTGGGGGCAGGTGGCCAAAAAAGTCTAAGTGGTGGCTAGATGACTACAGTCCCATCCCATCCCTAGAGCTGTTGTGACAGGACATTCACCCAGTCAGCCTTTTAGCTGATACTTTTAAGAAAGAAAGAAAGAAAGAAAGAAAGAAAGAAAGAAAGGAAGGAAGGAAGGAAGGAAGGAAGGAAGGAAGGAAGGAAGGAAGGAAGGAGGGAAGGAAAGAAGGAAGGAAGGAAGGAAGAAATTAGAGGAGCTGACATATTTATAGCTGTGAAATTATTCGCGGTTCCTCGAAAAGGGACGAATTCGATGACTGTCGAGATGGCTGAGCCTTCTCTGTTTTCAGTACTTTGCAAAGTGATGGGGTTTAAGTGCTTTGGATGCCCTCGGAAAGGGCTGTCATCAAGATAGCCTTGAGATGCTGGAAGATGCTTTCCAAAGAGGATGCTCTAAGTACCTGGAAAATAACAGGCTCTTGGGCTGAAGAGGCAGGTAGAAGATCTCGGCAGGGTAAATTACCCGTCCTTTTTTGAAAGCTTTAAATTAGACAGGCACGTTATGGGGAAGCATGGAGCAGAAATCGTTGGAATTAAAACCAGAGGCAGATTTTGAGCTGGAGCATATAGTTGGCATTATAGGTTGTCCTCGACTTACAACGGTTCTTCTGGTGACCATTTAAAGTTACGGCGGCACTTAAAAAAAGTGAACTACGATCATTTTTACGATGCTGTTGCAGCATCCTCAAGGCCACGGGATCAACATTTAGATGCTTGGCAACTGGGATGTATTTATGACGGTTTTGCAGTATCCTAGACTCACGTGATCTCTTTTTTGCGACTGTTTGACAAGCAAAGTCAATGGGGAAACCAGATTCACTCAACAACTGTGTTACTAACTTAACCACCAGAGTGATTCGCTTAACAACTGTGGCACGAAATGTTGTAAAGTGGGGCAAAATTCACTTAACAACAGTCTCATTTAGCAACAGAAATGCTGGGCTTAATTGCGGTTGTAAGTCGAGGACTCTCTGTACTGATAAAACTCAAGACCCATATCTTACAAAAGAATATTGTAGTAACCCTGGGAGGAGAGGGGCTATTTTCCTAACTCCTTGATATCTCTACCTGATCAGAAGGAGATTTGGACCTACTGATGTTGTGTTCTCCTTCTTGGGTTGATGTTCATTTCAGGAAGGAAAGGTGAAGCAAAGAGTAAGACGATAATGGGAAAGAAGGTCTTATGGAGTGAATTTGACCCAAATCTTCCAACCAAGAGCTTTTTCTGTTCTGTAACTCAAGGTCTTGG